AGGCTCAGGAGCAACTCGTAGCCGACAGGCACCCCGAAGTTCATGTCGGGGACTGTCCTCAAGCGAGACTTCGGGTTGAGGGCTTAGGGCGTACGTTGATTCTACATTTAAAGGATTCCTATAAGGGCACTATTGGTGGCATCGGATCTTCTACAAGAAAGGGTCGAGGGGCATGCGGTTTAGGGTTTGGGCTTCGGTGTTTCCCTATAAGGCATACTTCAAGAGGCCCTACAGTGTTCGATGCTTGTGGGTTCAGGGTTTATGTCTGCTGAGAGTTTAAGGCAGGGGCCGTGAATGTGTTATGGTCGGTCGGAGTAAAGAGGCCGTGGGAAAGTCACCTCAAACCCCAAAACCCTGCAGCGGTCCAGCCGACATAGGCGACGCTCACGGTGGACAAGTCGGTGACCAGCACAGGCGGGAGCATCTGGCTAGGTACGCCGCCTGCACCGGCTTGGTTTCAGACAGCCCGAGACGAGGAGAAACTCGGTTTTGGTAGAGAACTTAGCCGATGCAGTTTCGAGCCAAGGTGTATGTGGGGTCAGTTCACGACGGAGCAGTCCCAACGTGCATCAAATCTTTCTACGAGTATCTAGCAGCCTCAACCAGCAATTCCTTCAGCTGCAGCAGCGCAGTTCGACCAAAACCACACAAATAGCAATAATTATAATAAGGAGCCCGCCCAAAATAGTAATGACTATGATAAGGAGCCCCAAAAAATAAAGGGCCTGCCGTTGTGGAGCTCCAGCCGCTGTCGCGGACGCCGGCGCCCACGAGGCTGCGCACTTGGAAGTCGTAGTGGGTGCCGGGCACCTGGGGTTCTGGACTTCCATTTAATATTTCTTAAGAGTACTTTAAGAGTACTAAGGATAGCCTGCATGTCACCAAGGCGCCAAGCCCTGGAGCTCGTAGGACATCACGCTGGCGTTCAGGACATCACTTTCGTTGAGGCCGTCGCTGGAGTTGATGAGAATTTGGTAGCCTGTCAGGTTATGGGCTTATAGAGGTTAGGCAGCGGTGCAGCTGATTACGCGATCCGAATCGAATGAATAATTCACGTGATATCCCTTGCTTAAGGATGTCCTCCGGACCTACGGCGCTATATAGCACTTGTTCTCTTGGAAGCAAGGGTTTCTGCAGCCCGTAAGGATCAGGTAAAGAAGGTCACACGTGTCTATGGCGTGAATGTCCACGGCTACGGAACATCAGACCCCAATATCCAGGGTTTGATTGCTGTGACGTTCACACTACTATCAGTATCACCTGGTTTTTCTTCGTATCCGGGCATGGATACAGATGATCAGAATTGTCCGTGTGTGTAAGCCGTATATGTGCATATGCAATGGTCAGAGACGTGCGGCTTGGACTTTGGTGGCATGTGGGGACTGTTCCAAAAAAGCTCCACCACAATTCAACCATTAGGCCGCAAGGTTTGCAAGTCCAACTCTTCAGACGCAAAGCCGAAGAGCTTCAGAAAAATTGAAGCTTCCCGAAGGGGCTACCGACAACGCCTCTCTCATTGGTGCGTCCGGGCGACCGTAAGCGGCACAAATATAGTCGTGGTCTGCGGCTGAGGCGTTCCAGCTCAGGTGAACGGAAGTCGCAGATGGCAGGTGCATGATCACCGGAGTGGGTGGAGCTTCGCCTTAAAGTGGGAGCACTCAATGCTCAAGCAGTTCGCATAACAAGCAGTAGCCGCAAACGGAAACATGACAAAATGGCCATCGCATTCAAGAGCCGACAGGCCTTTTGACACCCCTGATAAAGGGATTTTGGCTCTGTCTTGGGTTCACCATCCAACCGGGCGAAACGAGGAAACCTGCTACGGCTAGCAAGAAGACATTTGCTGCTGAGCGGCAGGTTTGCGCATTCACGATGCCTCGGTTGCTCTTGCGAGAGCGTTGCCATCTGTGGATTCTTCAGGCGAGAGAAAGAAGTTGTGATGGTATGGTTGGCAGAAGTGCTCCAGGAAGGGGTTTGTGCTTTTGGCCATTTCTCGGAGCTGGGATTTGGGCGTAAGTGGCTTGTGCGTTTCGGGAAGTTAGGGGCAAGCTGTCGAGTTTGGGTTTCGGCCCTTAAAATCACGTCCGGCTACGAGCTCTTTGCAGGATTATCGGCTTCGGGCTCCTCTAGGGTGGGGCCTCGGGAGGCTAGACTCCAGATCCAAATGGGGGGTTTCCGAAAAGAGGGGACCCTAACTAATATAGTACCCTAAATAGAGTCGGATCCTTATTGTAAGGACCCCAAAGTAGGGTACCCCTATTATCTTCGGATACTCCCACATGCAGCAGCATCCCCAAACCATGTCCAAGGTGCTACTTGGAGCGGACTCGCCGGCAGGCGTCACGGCACTGACCTGCAGTCGGAACCACCTGCAACAGGGCAGGGGCCTACCTGTAGTCTCCATTGTAGTTCCTTTTTTGGTTTATCCAATTCTATATTAAGGATCCTAAAAGGTAACCCCAAAAAGGAACTACAATGGTGACTATGGGTAGAACAAGAAGTGTGCGAGGCTGCGCTTGGTTCTGGCAGCGCGAAAACTCTGAAGCATCGCTCAACAAGAGCGTGAAACACCTCGACCCGCCAGTGAGGGTAGTCCTACTGCATTGGCAGGCAAATAGTGTCAAGATTCTCCTTAAGCTGCCAGAGTGCTACCAATCTTAACATTACTGCTCTGATTATATTCCCAGAAAAATCGCAGTATGAAGCTTTTCCTTGGTACCGTTTTCTCAAATATTCGCTTAACTTATATACTTGCTTCTGCTACTAACCTGATGACCTGGGTCCTGAGGTATCACTCTCATTCTGATGCTCTTAGGGCAACTCCAGACCTTCCCGGCGTGAGAGGATAGAGAGGCAGGATCACGGTCTCGTTGTTCTCGTCGAGGGCCACCTCCTGCGTTTGCAACGCGGGGGCTGGGAGCCGGGACAGTGGGGATCTTCCGTTTCTGTTTTCTGGTTGGCCCTTTAAAAGCCTCTGAAAAATAGTAGTACATAGGGTCCTCTAAAGCCTAATGGCCTAATAAGGGGAAAGATACAATATCCCAAAGGCCTACCTACCTAGTTTTGCTTTTTGTTCTATGATGTAGGCTTTCGGGGTCTGCCGAGTTGGGGGCTTTGGGGATTCCAAAGGCCTTCATCGACTTAGCGTTCGGCTACCGAGGGCCCGAGCGGACTTCCAAGTCGGGTTGCTTTGTGACCTCTGAGGCTAGGAAGCCGCAACAAAAAAGTGGGCTGTGCAGGGTTTGTAGGAAGCCCTAACCCTAAACCCTATAAACCCTATAAACCCTAGACCCTCCTAAACCCTATAGCAGCCTTATGCTGCCCTTATAGGAACCCTTCACACCCTAAGCATCCCAAAACCTCGCGGGCTTCAGGGCGTCGAGCTTAGCTTCGACGGGAGGCCCCCCGAGATGAAGGCATGAGAACGCTCTACCTGTATAATATAGTATAATATAGTATAATATAGTATAATATAGTATAATATAGTATAATATGGTATAATATAGTATAATATCAGGGATCCCAAAACAAGGGCCCCTTGAGGACATGGGTTTTTACTTTAATCAAGGCCTACATCACCCGGAACCGAGAGTTTCATAAACCGGTTCCTTCTAGCTCAGAGGCGAGGTTGATGACTCGGACGACAAGCTTTAATTTTTAAGTCTCCGGCTAGACAAAAATCAACACCCCTTTCTCGGATAGCCCAAAGCCCCAACATCTACTACTTATAACAAGCCCCGATTTAACAATGCCGACTCTGTACTCTTCCTAGGCTCCAAAGCTTGACCGGGGCTCCTCTGCTGCCAGCTCTCTGTAGAGGTCCAGGTTGCCCCCCATGCCATCGTCCATGTAAATCCTCGCTTTGGGAGATGTAAAGACCGAGGATCCTTTCTTTGATGTCTGCTTCACATGATTGTAAACAGGTCCTCCGGGCAGGGTATTTAGGCTTGTCTGGGTCCCTGTATACCGAGTCGGTGGCAAGGATGCTGGAGCCTCGTTTCTGCTGGATCGCAAACCTTTCCGAAGAAAATACTTGACACTGCGATCGCTACTTGATCCGTGGCACATGCCAGAGTGATGACGACGGGGACACTTGGAACTTCAGGTGAAGGTGACCTCAACCTACTCGCCTCACCGCTGAAACCTAATCTCCACAGCAAATCACTTCATGTCCTGCGAACCTCTGCATCCAATGGTCCTGTACCGCAGAAGGGGAGCGCCAAAGAGCTCCGGCGATGGCCACGTGATCATGATCCTGGGGTTTACGGGGTTCAGGGTTTGGGGTTTAGGATTTAGGGTTTGTATGGCGTTTTCTTGTCCGCTTCTACCACGCTCGTGGATTCTCCCCCGGCATCCCAGACACAGCAAAATGAGAAGAAACCTGCAGCCCTACCTATAGTCTCCATTGTAGTTCCTTTTTTTGGTTACCTTTTAGGATCCTTACTATAGAATTGGTTAAACCAAAAAAAGGAACTACAATGGAGACTATAGGTAGGTACTGCGAGCTTCTCCTTGCCGGGGTTGCCAAACTCATTGAAATCGTACTCGATCCTCGCACGGGCAGAGGGT